GTTTGAGAGCGCTCCATCTCTCTGCTGTCACTCATGTAGGCATCAACAGTGAGCGCTGAAGGGACTGACTGGGAGGAACCACCTGCCTGACCTGAACCGTGTTCTGCTGTCCATAACTAAGCTTTTTCTTATTTAACGTATAATTGTATTATTCAGTTAGACACATACAGAGCTCAGTGTCCCACAGTATGGCCTTGATGCTGCAAACACACCTTTGTCCTCTTCTGTGGAGTGCTGGGAATTATTGTTTGATGGTTAATTGTAGAAGTTGGCAAAATGATTACTGGTAATACTCACAGTGGGTACACCGCTTCCTGAGTGCAGTGTAATGTGTTGACATAGTCTGGACTTGGGTTGTACAGCATCGTGTACCAGTCTGAAAGCATTTGCACTCGACAAGACCGGATAGTGAGCATTCCCACAGGCTCTGTGACCAGCAGAGTGACCACAGCTGACATACTGCACTCCAACATGGCGGTCACATGTTGTAGTAAAGCACTGGAACTGCAAAGGAAGAGGGTGAGACCAAATGACAGAAAGAAAACACACTGTCCTCACAGTCAAGAGTACTAAAGGGATTCTGTGCTTGGAACAAGTCAGACGTGTTTCTTATAGCTGTGTTAGCAGAAGAACGCATATAGTTTTAGGTTCTATCACAGCAGATGGCCCCGCCCCCTCCCTGAGCCTGGTTCTGCCGGAGGTTTCTTCCTGTTAAAAGGGAGTTTTTCCTTCCCACTGTCACCAAACAACTTGCTCATAGGGGGTCATATGATTGTTGGGTTTTCTCTGTATGTGTTATTGTAGGGTCGACCTTACAAGATAAAGTGCCTTGAGGCGAATGTTGACGTAAAACTGAAATGAAGCCAAAAATTGTCACACAACAGGAAAACCTTAAAGACACAAAGCCCTGGGTAACTAGTTATTTTCTACTTCCAAATTCAGACAAATCAATGTTCTGAACAAGACCTTCAGAATTAGACATTTATGGGTGATGCTGAAAGATTAGTTCATACCACAACTTAACAGCAGCACAATTTGAATTCCTTATTATTCAGCTATCAAACACTAATCAGACTCAAAATGCCACAGTGACTGAGACAGAAAACACAGCTGTG